AGAAGGAAACATGGGAACAAGTCTTTGTAGGCTTGGGTTAAGTAATGGTTTCTCAGACTGACACCAAAAATACAAGAGACAAAAGCAGAAATAGAACTTTTGTGCTGAAAATGACACACCAAAAAAGTAAACTAATCACAGAATTTTTACAATATTTCTGATAAGGAACTTTGATCTAGAATATATAAAGAGCTTTTACGTTCAGCAACAGACAATTTAGAAAGGGGGAAAGACTTAGATAAATATGTTGCCAAAGACAACATATAAATGGCCACTAAGTCTAAATGCTGAGCACCACGAGTCATTAGGGAAATGCAGATCACGACTGCACTGAGATGCCACTTCACAGCCACAAGCAGGGCCGCAATCAGAGGGAGATGCAAAGAACAAAGAAATCGTTCGTGCACGAGAAACGGAAGCCTTGCACACCGCTGTCACAATGCACAATGGCCCAGGCACTCTGGAAAACAGCCTGGCGACTCTGGAATGTTAAACACAAGCAAAGCTACCGTTTGATCAGCAATTCCACTGCTATCGCCCAGGGTATGTTAGGTACCCTGGGTGTACGTGAACTTTAGGCTTAGTACCTGAGAGAAATGAAAACATGGTGACACAAAAACTTGCATACAAATGTCCCAAGCAGCATTATTTGCAATGTAGGAAATAATCCAAATGCCCATCGACAGGTGAATGGATAATCGAAATGCGGCGAACCCACAAAATGGAAAGCTGTTTGACAATAACATGGGATGAAGTGCTGATATATGCTACAACATGGGAGAGCCTGAAGTCAAATGCCCAGACATAACTGATATGCATAATTCCACTTATCTGCAATCTAAAGTCATTATACTTTAGGTACATACTTATGGCATGTAATTTAGCTCAATAAAGCCATTCAAGACTCTACACAGGACAAAAACAGCCATGTGCAAATTATCTGCAAATCTAGGACTTTCTGCACATTAAATTCTAAGAATATGTTGTCATAAAAAAAGCATAGCTATGAAAGTAACTAATAAATAGACTGTAACTGGATATGGAAGAAAGGAAATGATCTCTGGAAATAAAGCAACGAAGAACCAGAGAGCAAGATTATCTTGCGGGCGAGCCAAGGAGGAAAGTGTCCTGGCCAGACACGCTCGTATCTCATTCCTCTGGCAGAGAAAACCCTTTAGTAGCAGTGAATTAATCATGCCAGCATACATTAATGATTTCGATCATAAAGATCTCTTTACTCTGATTTCAACTTACTAGGTCACTTTCCAGTTCATGCAGACTAACAGGAATGTGATGAACTCCAGCACATGGTTCACTAGGAACCACTGATTCGGCTTCATCACTGAAGGGGTGTGTCTGTGTGACCTGCTCCTTGTGAGATGGCTTCACTGTGCTCTTAGCAAACAATGTCTGCCCTACAAAGCTCACGATCAGTGTCTTGACCACGGGGACACTCACTGCAGGATGCCTAAGGATTTAACCTGCTGTGCACAGGGCTGGCTGGGAGAGTGGGTCCCCAGGCTCCCACCTCTGCTGCAAATCACGGCCATAGCAAGTCACTGCCACAGCTGCTGGCACGTGTTAGACTATGCAGTGTGCACTAGGACACAACCAGGTGACAGCAGCCACCTCACCGTCCTCAACATCCCTCCCTCCCAGTTCTCTTAAGTCCCATATTCTACGATGCTGCCTAACATTCTATTATTTTATCCAGTCTGATCTCACCTTACAGATAAAATACCTGGGGCCCACAGCGTGGAGGACCTTACTTGTCACTTGGTGGCACCGCTTTCTTGCTCCAGGCCATTAGAGGCCCAGCTGGCATGGGGCCAAGCTCCACAGCACTGCAAGTCGCTTCTTTCTCATGCAGGCGACATTCAGGTTTCTAACAGTATCCCTCACTACTTAATAGCAAAATGATGTTATGTCAGGTTGAAAGAGATCTTTTTCTAATCTAAACAGTTACTATAAAATAAAATTATACCTGAAGGGTATGATCCTATACCCCTAATCATATGTAAAGTCATAAACCAACTGCTCCCCCCTCCAAGAAAAAAGACAAGTGTAACCAAAAAAAACCAAAAAAACAAACATTCTCCTTGTATCCATTCTATCTCTGAAAGGATGCGTTAAAAGTCAGTGACAGCCTCTGGGAAAGAGCCCAGAGCTGACTGCAGTCCTCTGCCCACCTGTACCCATGTGGGTGCTTCTTTCCACCCACTGCCTCCCTCTGCAGGGCAGCAGCCTCCTGCCTTCCCATGACCTTACCTGCCAGGACTTCTCTGCACTGACCTCCCTCAGCGGAGGCCGCTCTCCTGAGGGACGCACCCCTGGGATCATGCAGGCCTCTCTCAGCAAACCTGTCTCTTTCAGAGCAGCTCTTCCTGCCTGCTTGTGTCTATACAAGTGTCTTTTACTCTTCTGTCCCTTTCCCTAATAAACAAACAAAAAAGAGCCCAGAGCCAAGCAAAGGAAGAAATACTTTCCTCAGATATCTTTTTGTCATTTTAATTAATATATATGTTCATTACCTATATGAAAAACATATTTTTTAAATTGAGCTATAAAAGGGCTTTTAACAGTCCACAATATTTGGACCACATATGTACCACATGGAGCTTTCTCTTAAAATAAAAATTACAAAATACTTGGACCATTTTCTTTTACTTCCATAAAATATATCTATATTAAAAATTGAAAATCAGGGCGGGAATGAGTTACGGTGATGGTTCACAGGTGACTTGGTGGTGGGAATTTTATGGGCAATACACCTGAGAGGAGAAATCAAACATTGTGTAAATATGAACAGTGATGTCAATATACATATATAAGTAAATTTTATAAATGAAAAGCAATATAAAATTCAAAAGTCATGCCAAATAAGGTTTAGTTACATACGCACACATAAGTTATGTCATATATGTGTAGACCCCTACACATTACCTGGTAGATAATAGATTTCATTTACTGCTAGTAACAAATATATTGTCTGGTCTTATAAATATAAATCAAAATAAAAAATTTTAAAAGTTGGGGTCCTTTTTCCCTAAATATAGCTTGCTGTGCATTAGAATGTAGTAACAATTATTCTGATCTTGTGGGGTGGGGAAAGAGTCATAATCATATATAATCACAATTTTCCCCACGATCCCAGGAAGATAGTTTCTTTCCTAGTTTTATGTATTTTTTTTTCAATACTAGAGAGAATTATTTATTTCAGTCCCTTATGAAAGGTCATGGTTAACATGCTGGCTTCCTAGCTGGGTCTCTGCGCTGAGGGGAGACCGGGGCAGGCGGCGATAATTGATGAGAAGTCGGTTGCCAGTTTCCTACTCAACAAACACAAAGCTGGATTTACCTAAAATGACCCTCAGTCTCTAAAGGAAAAATAGAGAGGCCACAGCGGATGCACTAACCCCAGCACAAGTGTCAAGAAGCAATCTAGGGCCCTCCCTGGTGGCGCAGCGGGTTAAAGCACAGCACTGAGAAGCTAAAGC